GTGTGTGTGTGTGTGTGTATGGTTAGCCATGGAAGGCCGAGTGCTCTTACAGCTTGTTTCAGTGAACATAGGAGAGGGGGCATTATGTAGGCGGATTTAGATCGCTTATACTATGGCTAAGATAAGACCATTACATCGACGATTACGAACCATGTGGTTTGACTCCGCTATCTGTGTAACGATCGAACTAATGATGGTACTAATCACCACACTTTTCAGCCAGGCCGGGTGGTGCTCACGGACTCGTTCAAATAAACGTTTGCTCATGTGGCCAAGATGGAGTGGAAAATAAAAAGCTATGCTGATTTTGTATCTCTTCCGTTTTATCATAAAAAACATGAAGAGGTAAATAAGTAAACATAGAAAGAGACTGCTAACACGGGAGTTTATCTTCCACTTGAATGTGCAAAACGTGGACTGGAGATAAACACCTTGCGAAGTTTAGCTGCGATAATTTGTTCCATTATAATCAAACACTAATTAACCAAATGACAACTGTATACAGTTAACTACCTCCGACTCCAATAGAGAGCCTCAAACGGAATCAAGTAGTCCATACTTTCAATTCATCGTTGCTAGCGAGCGTTTGGATAGAAAAAGTTATCTGGAATTTTAGTAGTTAGCCAAAATCATTATTGATTTTTACTAGTACAGTACTACTGGGCCAGAAACTTAACAGATTCCATGGAAACCTCGTACGTTTCCTTCCTGGAAATGAGTAAATCCTTAAAATGAGTTTCTACAGTGCTTGCCATATTATAAATATTCCTTAGGGACAACAGATCATTCCATATAGACATGATGTTCATTTGAAACTTCGGATTATTGGGACTGAGTACAACCAGAAGGTTGTTATCTTATCTGTGATTCACAGGTTAAATCTGTGTATCTTACGATAACAGGTTGTATGTGGTTTGGAATCACACTGACTACTGACCTCAAAACTGGTTCCGAGGCGATTGAAGCAAAACCATGCTGTGTGCGAATGTTCCACAAGGTTTATCAGAGCACATATGCAAGTGTGCGTGCGTGTAGTTGTTGTCGCTAAAAGAGTAGCCAGTTCAAAGTCCGTTCAGCGAGTGCACGGGCGTAGTGTTACGTAGTTGGATGACGATGCATCCATGCATCGCTAGTGTAACTCGTGTTCAGTTGAGCCAATTTATCGACCGACCAAATTGACTTTTGGCCTCACATGTTTTGATGAGATGCATTCTGGCTAGCGCGATTAATGATGTACCGGTCAGTGTCCATCCAACTGCCTTTGATAGATCGAGCGCACAGTCTGGATGTGTCGCTCCTCGTTTCACAAACAGAGAAATCGAATCCTGTCTGGCCATTGTGAATGAGAATCCAATATATTCAAACGTGGCTACTCAACTGTCCGAAGCTCATAAACAGCTTTGTTTTTCTAACGGTAATACCGTTACACTAGGTCATATTAGCTCCTCATTAAATCTGTTCCACTTTCACTCACCCAGTTGGTGAGCGATAATTCCGCAGGATTTTGAACAGTACACCGATATCCAACCATGAATTACCTATTATATAGGCCGCCCAGTGTTTTGAGTCATCTCTGTTTTTGATCGCAGCCTTAAACGTATTATGGACCATTTAGATCACGAGGCTATCGATCATTCGTTATGGGGGTTTAGGAAAACCGAAATAAGAATCACGTGACGTGAGGCATGCAACAAATACTCGTGAGCAGCCTTCTATCCCCAATCGACCAGGGCTGCGTCTTCATTGGTTGGCATATCGATAAATCGCAAAATTTTCAAATTTACTAACCCATTGGGTTCAGATGGCACTCTGAATCCGTTATACGGAAAAATCCCTGAGAGCGAGAACTCAAAATCCATAATAAATGTGACTGTGCTTGAGGAAGCGTGTTTCACATCGGAGGAGTCTGTTTACATAAAAAAAATCTATTGTCCGTTTAAACGATGGTCATATCGCATGGTGACGCGTTTCNATATCGCATGGTGACGCGTTTCAACCGTATTTTAATCCACGCATCGGTCACTTCCTGTGCACAACAATTCACCTCGCCCAGGCTCTTAGTTTTCCCCTTTATTTTTACCCCTTTATTTATCGATCGACCACGTAAGTATCAAAGATAAGTGGTAAACATAAATCTAGTGAGATATTATTACGTGATACAAGACAAAACCAACAATGCTGCTTCTCAGCCTGATGCTAAGAGTGCTCCACAGCTACCAGCATGTTTCAACTTAATTTTAGAAGAAGTTATGCAGCGAAGCAAACAGCTACAACGAAGACAGACACTCAAACATCTAATGTCGTCACAATCGATATTGCTTCTTCTACATCAGAAAGTAACCACACCGAATAAACCAATTTTCCATGCTATCCGGAGAGTGGAATTATCCAAAAGCTAATCTAGTAAGAACGTTTTATTTTTTACCCTGAAGCTCTTTAATAAGCTTCGCGATTATCAGAAACAAGTATAATCATTGCGCGTATCTCTGCATTGATATTGTGCTGGTTTGTTTAACCGTTTTGAATACATTCAATGAAAAGTTGTCAAGAAAAGCAACATTTTACCAGATTTGACGAAATGATATTGATTTTTGCTCTGAACATATTCATTGATCAGTTCTTCTTTCTGCATTATTCAAGTTTTCAATGTATTTACACTACCGTTCATTCATTTGCAATGCACGCTTTTTTAGTCTCTGTCGTTTGCCATGGTTACCCGTAGCATAAAGATGAGCTGTTCGGGATTAGAACTAAAATATTTTACCTATTGGACAGACTTTAATCTAAAACAAACGTTTTCACAACATCCTTTTGTACCGGCCTTGATGTTTTCGCGCATGAGCCATTCAACTTGACCGCTCGTCAATCTGTGTGTAACATATTTTCCTGTTTCAGCAACTATCTATTATTTTGGACTACACAGACTGTATATTCATCTCTCAGGATGAACGTTCTCATTCAAGTTGATTGCTGGCTTTCCTCTCAACGCAAGCCAAGTAAACTTCACCCTGACACGCTCATGAGATTTTGGGCGCGAATGCCATCTTTACTTCCCGATTATATTCAATTGGGCAGAATGGCAGCAACGTATTTCTGAGTGCTCACAGCTCTGAAAACAATCGCTGCTCCGGAACTGTCTGGGGCACGTTGCGAATGATTATGCTCGTACGGTCCTGGAGAAGGCTGATTTTTCATGGACTCTAGGGTTCATGTGTGAGTGAGTACAAGCAAATAGAGCGGACAGTGATCTTTTGACAGTAAATTTTACTGATAGCGTTAGACCATGATTTAATTAGCCATAAGTGGCATTCTTAAACAAGCGCCCGATAATTGTCAGATGGGTTGATTTAAGATTTCACCATACAGGGAACACGGAATCCTTAAGGCTTCCAGTGACTGTGACAACTCAATATTCTGAACCCATCTGCTTGCTTTCTCAGGTTCCGAAACACGTTCAAAACTGAGCATCTTGGATCAAAACGGAATGCGGTGAGACACACGATATCATTGAGATTTTGCATACTCTAGATAAACACTGAGTGAATGAACAGAAATCGACCGCGAAAACGAAACGTTTGTGATGCTCATCTTAACCTAGAGACACCACGATTGACTTAAGCTAAGTTTCGAGTAGAGCAGACCATAAAGTTATTCATGTGTATTTACCGATGAAGATTAATCTCGTGGTAAAACCATTGCAAATCAGTGAAACGTGTCCTGCACAAGCAGAATGTTACCACTCAAGATCACTGAGCCGACGTTGTCTGTGATCAGTGAACCTGAAGACAGGTTAGGAAACCTGACTAATGGAAAGAAGTACTTTGGTTATAAGTCCAGGAAACATCACTCACTCACTCAATCAATCAATCAATCAATCGGTAAAATAAAAATATATGCGGGATTCGGAGAAGCAGTAATCAATCCAAGTCAATACGATGGTCAGCCAAGATGTTGGTGAAAGTGTGTGTGTGTATTCGAAAGCGCAGCTTCGGCTACGCAATCATTGTCACCAAAATAGAAAACAATTTCTCAATGATTTACGTCACGATACAGTATGAATTATTTTGAATGTGAAACACTGGGTTTTCGTTGCAATTCACACGGCTGTGCAATTTCGTGATCGTGTTCTACTTACTGTCTTTCAGCTCCGCATTTGATCGATCAGTGACGTGGAGGAGTAAAATCAATCGGGAAATGTACCACGAGTAGTCTGTGTAGAATCCGGTTAAACGAGATGCGCGTAGACAATACGTAGATTCATGAATACCATTGTTTGTGACAGCCATTATAGTCTGTCTCTAAGTGCTACTGATTAGGTAGGTCCAGTGGTCCAAATGTAGACAATATATCCTTTATCGAAAGTATCGATCGTCATGTCATAGCAACGATTTCGCTTTTGCTTTGGTCTAATTTAAAATACCTTTCCACAGACTTCCTATGCCAAACAGAACTTGCTTTTGTAACAACATTACGCTGTCAGTTTGAAATATATTCCCGTGGGTGAGCGTTTATATTAATAATAAAACACCTGAATGCAGTGGTGATAATCAGATCGATTGGTTGCAATCAAGCACGATATGGTGTCCAGTGTACCGGAAAATCTGATAATTTCAAAACCAAATATTAATGGATTGAAACTCAAGTTTCCGGAGATTTTTCATAAAACCTTGGGAACACGAGGAAGGAATGAGTTATGACTTAAACTTGATCAAAGTGTTCTGGTTCACGAATGAATGACAACCAAATCGATTCATAGAATGATGATTTAACCTTAACTCCGTTCCCCAAGACATACAATGCAACCTATTCCCACAATTCACTTTTCTTCGATTAGACTAAGATAGACTCGCGGGAAACGCGTTTCAAATAAAAGATTTAACTTACTTGAACGGACAGATAAGCCATGCGTGGAATTAAATCGACCAGCCTACCGGTCGGACCGCCCACATCATTGGCCCAAGTAAGCACGTTGATTTGGTACAGAAGAGTTCGACGCCACCAGGGCTGGGCTTGTGGATACGACGGAGTGATGTATCGTAGACCAAAGTACAATCCCAAGCCCAGAATGATTGCCAAGATTATGACGAGTGCGACGGTCACAACAACCGCAATCGTAAACTGTTTACGTGATAAGCCGAAAGGTGGCTGGAATTTCCTAGAGGAAAATAGTCACGATATAATAGGCAAGCCAGGAATGAAAAAAATGAGGTAAATGGTGCACAAGAAAAAGCCACCTTCAGTTCCATGTATTGTTCAGTAGTTTTAAGATAATTCTAAACAAATCTAATGTGAACTGTAGGAAAATGTTTCTAGAAAGATACTGACTCCGAATTTTTTGTTTTAACAGAACCGGAAGAAGAATTCTAGAATTATGCCAAATCATTTGCATGTAAGTATCCAGTTCTTATACAATAATCGGCTAATGTTTAGACAGGATCCGTTTACCTCGAGAAGTTCCCCCTGTAGGGCAATGTAATTATTAGACTGAGCTAACTGTGTTGTGCAGTTGATGACCCCGGGTTACGTGTGACCGCCTGATTACTGGGCGTTGGTTACGTCATCGACTTCACCAACCACTTTGGAATGTGTTCGGCCATCCGTTGTGACAACTGACGGTTGGTTCAGCCTATGTATTCGTCACCGCAACTGTAGGTGAACTGGTATACAGTGTGTGGGATAGAACTGGATTGCCAACCATGTACATGNGTAGAGGCAGCAAGTCGAAGTTCAGCAGCTGGGAATGTGCGGTTGAGACCAGACTTTCACTTTTGACGCACATCGCTCAGGTGGTGGGTTACCTTTTTGAGATTGTTTACTATGAAGATCAAGAAGTCTTCCGGGGTAAACGTTTCGTAGCAACGTTTTATTCTCATAGTGTGCCTAGGGAAAAATGCTTCTGGCTTGATGGAACAGAGTTTTCACGAGTCCACGTGTGTAAGCCACAGGTAAGAAGCTAGAGATCTGTAGATACTGACCACTCCATGTTGTTTTTCTGTAGATAGAACGTTGTAATGTATCATCTAAGCTCCTCTTAATTTTATTATACAAAAATGTTGATGAAGCGTTGGTTTCTTCTTCATGGAATGCGAAAAGATGCGGATGAACAGAGTTCAGTTGTCTCAAAAGTGATTTAAAATGTTCGCGCTCTGTAAGAATAAAAATAACGTCCATATAACGTCTGTACGAGTTGGACTGGGAGATATTATTGGCAAGATTTTGTTCAATCATTCCTAAGAATACATCAGCTAGAATTGAGCCTAATGGACTGCCCATGGCTACGCCGTCAATCTGTTTGTATGCGGCTTTTCAAGCTAAAATTGAATGTTTTCTGTACATAAAAGATTTAGTTCTCCTAAGTATTTAAGAGGAATAGCAGGGGGAAAAATTACTTGAAGAAGTATAATCACATAAAAAATCAACTGTTTCATGGAGGGAAACATTGGTGAAAAGGGAATCCACATCTATCGAATACATCCGCTGTAATGATATTGTCAAATTTTCTAAGCAGCTTGACGATGCAGTGTTAAAGATTTACGAACGAGATTTGGAATTTTCACCAACCATCAATCGATTTCGGCAAGCATAAAAATTGGACTGAGAGTGGTCCCGGGTTGATGAACTTTAGGTGAGCCTCTCATTTGTGTTTTCTCGGTCCCTACTGGCTTCAGTTGTTTATACTGTGTTTCTGATATGTAACCATGTAGTAACGGAATTTGTAATTTCCTTACGATAAGGTTTTCAGTGAGGCGGTTGTTGTTTGATGTCTTGTTCATTAATAGTATTTCTCTCATTTTGCATGTATAACTGTCCCTGGTCATGATCACTATCCCAGATCCTTTGTCCGGCTTGTGAAATCTAAGATCTGATATAAGTTACAATTCGTCTATTCTGTTGCCTCTCTGGTTCAGAATAACAGCATGGATTTTCTCCAAGAGGACTCGTTATGAGCTTTTTAAAGAGTACATAGAGTGAATAAGATGCCTTGATAGTGCACCCAACTTATAATTGGGTTTTTAATAAATAAAAAAGCATCATTTGCATAGTGAATCTGAATTCATAACTCTGGTTTGCTGATAAAGTCGAGTTGCATGAGCCTCAAAATCGGGTGTGAAACCCTCAAAGTGTGGGGTGACTTTTGCCTCTCTTGAAATTAACCGAGTGTTCTGTTCTGTTCTGTTTAATTCAAGCCCGGGACACGGAAGTGAGTAATATGGCCAAACATTTTTCTTCTTTATCTTTGGCAATTACCTCCCATTCCGGTCACATCGGTAAACGACTATTCAGTTCCACTGGTAATTCGCTTCATTTCATTTTGGACACTAGTAGTGTGGAATCTCTAATTTCTGTTCACGATCTAAAACTGTTTACTCCAAATGCTAAACTCCACTCGTCCACTGTCACCATAAATGGCATCACTGGACACTCATTGCCTTTAGTTGGCTCTTGTGGGATTTCAGTCAGTGGTGAACATTCTAAAACTGTGACCTGTACATTCATCGTAACCAAGTCTGGCCCCTCCATACTAAGCTTGAAAGCTATACAGGCAATAAATGTCATTCTTTCCTTTTAAACATCAATCAATACTGAAAATGAACTGAAAGATTTGATTATTAAATACTCAAAGGCCAGCGGTGGTATGAAAATTCTCCCGGTGAAACTACCAGTTAATGGTGATCCAGTTTTTTTTCAGACGCCGAGTTATTCCATATGGCCTCCATGAGCCTATCATGAATGCATTAAACAACTTGTGTTCCAAAGGTGTTATAGCGAAGGTGGAGTACTCGGCATGGGGTAAACCAATCAAGTCGAATGGCAAGACCCCCAGAATATGTGGCGACTACTGAATCACCTTAAATTCAAGACTGTTAAGGCAGACATGTACAGCAGTCGAACTAGAGGACATTCTGAATAAGTTGACTGGTTCTAAGGCCTAACCCAAGATTGACTTGAACTACGCTTATTTACAAATTCCGCTGGAAGAAACCTCCTCCAACTTGAAAACGGTTACTACCCCTTTTGGTTTATACACATACAAGTTTTTGCCGTTTGGTTTATCCATTTCTTCTGCCATATTTCAACAACTTATGAATGACATCACTAGTGGTATGTCTGGTGTTGAAGCATATCAAGATGACATTATTGTTCATGCTCCTGATAAGTCCACTCATGACGCACGATTGATTGCTTGGACTCTTTCTTATGTTTTCTGATAAGAATGTTACTGTTAATCCTAAGAAGTGGTCATTTTCTGTCTCTCATTTTGAATTTCTTGGATATTTGGTTGATGGTAAAGGTTACAAACCTGGCACAAACCGTCTATATGTCCTCTAACAAAAGCTAAATCACCGTCGAACACGAACTCAGACCATCGATTGGAGCTCTATAGTATTACCCTAGATTTATCCTTAATTTCAGTCAGATGGCTTCCCTCCTTCATTTCTTATCTCTTCTTCTGCAAAAGTTCTTTGGACTGATGTTCATGAACATTGCTTACGTGAACTGCTAAATTTTCTACAGACCGATGCTGTACTTCACCCATTCAATCCCAAAATCCATTCCACTGTTACTACTGATACATCAACTGATGGAATTGGTGCGACTTTGGAACAGAATGGGCATCCAATTATTTGTGTCTCGCCGGTTAACAGCAGCTGAACGAGGGTATGCTCAAACTCATCGCGAAGCCTTAGCTGTATATTAGGCAGTCAATCGCCTCCACGATCCTTGGAAATCGCTTTCGAGAAGCTCTGCAGCTATGGTTCAGCATTGGAGTATCTTACTCAGTGCATATGATTACACAATTGAACATCGCAGTGCCAAATAAATCCAACACGTGGATTACATTTCGTGTCACTCGCCACCCGCTTGGGACCCGGAGGACATTTCTGATTCACTACTAGTGCAACCTCTCCCTGTGAGCCGCCAAGAACTTATTCGTGACACATCATTTTTCTCTGCTGTGATGGCTGCTTTGTGGGAGGGTTGGAATTCACAGACCCAGAAGCGATTTCCATACCACTTTTCTAGAGGTGATAAACTTTCAATTACGCCTGATGGATTACTGTGTTTGAATGACAGAGTTGTTATTCCATCGATGTTGTGTAAAACTGTACCTGACGACCTACATTCCGGCCATCTTGAAATAGAAAAAATGAAACCATTGGTTAGATCAACTTGTTGGTGGCCGAACATGAATGCCAACATATGTTCCACAGCAAAGAACTGCCCTAAATGCTGCCACAAACCTCGACATTTGCCATCCAAATGGATTCTTTGGTCTGTATCAAATAAGGCTTGGCAACGTGTTTCATGCTGATTATTGTGGTCCATTTCTCAATGCAATGTATGCTCTTGTTGTCATTGACTCCTCCTCCAAGTGTCCCGAGGTATTTTTTCACTAGGTCACCCTCATCAGATTGTACTATTCATGCTTTGCATAAAGTTATCAGTCGGGAGGGTATTCTTGCTGAACTAGTTACTGATAATGTTAGTCACTTCTCCATGAAAAGTGTTTGAGGATAAATCAAATTCGTTTTGACAATCCAAGTTAGTCCGTTCTATTTCATGATGAAAATTCCGAGCCCAATGATGTTTCTTTGGATACTGAGCAACTTGATACGGCTGATGAACAGAATGTTGAACAACAAGGTGTTATGAAAGAATTACCTGAGAATGAATGAGTCCTACGAAGGCCTGAACGACTGTGTGCGAAGCCACGACTGGATTACAGAAATTCTGTGATCAATTTAAGGTGCGGCGTGTGTGATGGGTGACACTGACCTCGAAAAACTCCTTGTACACTTTGAATGTATTGAATATGCATAGTACACAATTCGAATATAGTACGTGTACTATTCGATTCGAAGTTGTTCCATTTCGGGGATTGGTATCGCACGAATTCCGGGTCATAGTGTAAGCAAATGTGATAGTATACCCAAGAACATTCTTCGACGGTCTCGTTAACCTGTTACTTGACTATTACCCGAGCAATGAGTTCCTATTAACTCGCTAAGGCGAACTCACAGTTCCATTACACATTTTTGCATAGCCCAGAGAGTTCCGGAAGCTAGAGCATTATTGGACACACTTACTATTCGTCGAGAAGCAGATTATGGCGGTGGATTTCGTTGATATTTCCTAATACGACAGAATGTATAATGATGCGGCGTACTGATGGAGGTTTCACCACAATAACAATTTAAGAGATGTATGCAACAGCAGTTGTAGGGTGAAGAATTTCATAAAAAGTATAAAACAATTGTGCTTATGATATATGTGTATCAGATATTCGGAGGATAATGTTTTAGCACCCTGTAACGGTAAGGCGTGAGGCTTTAAAATTCAATGTTTGAAAATGGCCACGTGAACCGATTTTTATAGTAGACAGTTCCGCCGTAGCCTCTAACAAAAAAATACAGGTAGAAGAGTGCATACCGGCAGGATCCTGCTTTATGGCATTATAAACCAGTACAAACCAATAAAAATACCTTCCATCTCAATAGCAAGATTTTTAACCGCGAGAAACCAGTTAATGGTGTTCAGATCAATAAAACACTGTACCTTCTTCCCCGGGTGCGTATGTTATGCCGTGGTGGCTAGCATAGTATGGACCACACCCAAGCATACAATGACCCATGTTTAAACAGTAACCTTCCGGCACCTTGAGATGATGCAGTGAAAATCTGATCAAGTCATTTGATTGAAGGTGTGGTTCAACAACAGACTCCTTACCCCGATAACTCAATCACCTCAATTTTCCATCCGGTACTATTCACATACATTTATGATTTGATCAAATGAGAAACCAGGTAGACAAACAAACTCGAATAATAAGAAGAAGAAACAGACAATCTGTCCTTGGTGATGGCTGTAGTCTGGAAATTGGGAAAACGGTGGATGGTCAATCTGACTGTTAGAGTAGAAAATGTTTTGGTGATTACGCCGGACAGCGAAGAGTAAAATCAAGTATAAAACCCTGAATTTGATAAGATCCTTGAAGAATCCTCGTAAGAGTAAGTAAGAGTGATAATGGCAAACAATTATTACCTTGCTGTTCGATAGGTATCAAGCATACTAATAACTGAAAGAAACTTTCATGAATGTGAATGAATCCATCTAAGTAAGTTCCACCAAACCTATCTAAAGTCATCTTACAGGTCTAAAGAGCAAAGGTTGAAACGTTATTCATCGTTTTTCTCATAATAGGTTCGTGCTCCCAAATCGAATATATCATCTTCCAGTTGAAACTGTACCGCCTCATCCCGTCTTACCCCTAAGAAGGGCATGATCTCAAGACACGTTCGATTCCTCTTAAAAGAGACGAGTTGAAGGTTCGGGTATGAGACTATGGCGATATCTCGCACAGAACGTCATGCAGATGGTGGTCCACAGTGTATACGAATTGACATAGCATGATTTGATCGGAAGCAGATCAATTCAGCTTGAGTCAACACCAGTGCAGTAAAGATACGCATTACGCTCAGATCGATTAGTCCTTTGCAAGCGGACAAAAATCCAACGGCAATGAGCACGATTCTTGGATTGAGTTATACTGAGTGCAACTGTAGGTGGGCATGCAAGTAACCTTCATTTGGATAGCCAGATNAGATGATGCAGTGATCGTTAGAGTGCAGTCATTCTTGAGCGGTGCAGGTGACTTAACTCAAACGAGGAATGCGAGGCCATCTCGCGTGTAGAACAGGCTGGAATAGAGTATTGAAGCAACGTACAACAGAACAAAAGTGTACCAGGAAAATACCTCGAAAAAACCTAAACGTTTCCCACATCTTTAAGCCGTCACACATCTTGCGGACATGTCAAGGTTTCACCTTACCAGGATCATCTTATGTTTCGTTGATGAGACAGATAAATGCTTTGCATTTTCAGCTCTAGCAAGAAGTGAAACGGATTAACCCCAGTTTTCACTCAGGAGATACACTTGCACTCCCCCTTATGTAAATTCAAGTGAGTAGATTGATAATTGAAACAGAATGGTCAACCATATGATGGCATCGACCGGAAATTTTGCATCTGGGATATGGAATGGTGGGCCGCATGAATCCATAATACCAACTGTTTGATTTAATTCAACGAACGATCAGGATGTTTTCAAATAAATGGTAAGCGGTTCAGTAACTATTTGTTTACGGCATCCACCACCAGTAAACTGCGCACCACCATCACCATCACCCAAACTCATCCATTTTTTCGTTCACACAGAAACTCCTCAGCAGAATGAAAGTAAGCATACTGTTTGTAGCCAGTTACACTAAAACTAGGAACACAACGATTAAGCACAAAAAGCTGAACGCTTATGGCGCACAATCTCAAATAGTTTGAAGTTTTAGTGATTGATGGAACTTCTTTTAGGTAATCTTTGATCATCACCAGGCATTTCACTTGTTATTTAACTATTGTAATGTGTGAATAAAGAAGTCGAAGGCATCAATAAGCACTGTAACTCTACAATCATTTGTGAATTTGTGAAACTGTTTCACTTACTTTTTCGGTTTACTTTCCAATGCAGCTTTCTCTTTCAATGCGTTTATGTTGACAACTGCTCCGTCATCCATCACGACATTGTGTTTTTGGAAAAAACCGACCAGTTGTGGATCCATACCGAAAAACGGACTATTCGGATCGTAGAACATAGTATTGGAAACCATATTGGGATCTTGGGGATCGTAGGGTCGTGCACCGTAATCACTTGTTGTTTCCGGTTCAGAGGACAATGTGGCCCCGTAAATCGGAGGTACCGGTTCCGGGGATACGGATGCGGACCGGTCGCCCAAACGACGAGCCGATGCGTAACGATATCCAGACATTTGTGAGGCTTCTGTGAGGACCGATAATTATGTCAGTGTGTGTGTGAGAGAGAGAGAGGAGGGGATGCAACGGTAGAACAATTAATGACAATTAGATGAATCCACTTGTTCAGATGGAATTTCGAAGCAGTTCAGCAATGTCCTGAGCACAGAATATCTAATCGGGTCAGTTGGAGCATGACGACCTTGTTGAACACGATTTACGGTTACCTTGATCACACCTGGTTCGATCGCAATCAAACCCGGATTTCAGTTAGAATCGACTATGACTTCACTCTGGAGAATCCCATAAACACAAATCTGTTGATCTGGTAGACATATACACTAACTCACATACGTGCGCACACACGTACACGCACGTGCACGGAACACAGACCCGTTCCACAAGACAGCAAACAACACACGCGGACCAACGCACACTTTCTGGCGAATTGAACTTAAACAACTCAACCTGACGGTCACGGGGTTGCTCGTGCGCGAAACTTTTCGCGCTTAACTGGCTGATTGGTCGACCAGCTAACCGGTTGGCTGGCTGGTTGGTAGGCTAGTTGTCTGTCGACTATCATCGGGTCTTTTAAGACCTGAACGTAACCATGCCAACAAGAATCAACACACAACAAACAGTCTTCTGATTGGTGTATCGATTGAAGTAGGTCGGGCGAGATAGTTGAGTCACACCCATAAGTGTATTCCTGCCCACCAGTTTCTGGTCACAATGTGATGGTTTGCGCGGACTTAGAAAGCGCGAACACTGACTCATTTGTTTGGTTCATCTGTGAAAGTCTGAGCTGTATTTACCGATGGCAATGCGTCAACGGGGCGGTATCCGTTGATGAGCGACTAAAATATGCAGGAAACTGCGTGATTACTCCACAATCAGTTTGCCGATTGCCTACTGCCGATAAAACGTTATACGAGCAGAGTTGCAGCTTCCCTAGCATGAGAAAATCACATGAATAATCAATCAGTGTTAGTTCTATTTAAATTTATTCTTTCAGGCAAAATCCCCTGCCCAACGCAACGGTTAACTGTTCTCATCGATCAAACTTCCCCGAAAGACAAACAGGACTCATTCGAAAGTGGACATGTAAAATAAAACCCTATAATCAAATTTTCATCACTGACTAAACTTCATCTTCTACAGACAGAAAATCGACAACTGCAAATAGGAGATTCTGTGACCGGACACTGGAAATGTAAACACGATACGGCAGATAAGGGCGTGACATTGTCCCAGGTGAAATCAGAAGCGCTAGTCACCATGTGCACTGCCTGTCGGTGTCACCTGTGGACACGAAACAAAGCACCTGTGATACATGCGTGACCTGACAGAGCCTTGAGGTGTGTGAACCCGTCACACACGAACCGGCAGGTTACTTGTCGCACCGTCCCTTGACATGCCATTTGATACGGGTGTGGAAATAACCCCTAAATAAATAAAATTCCTGCCCATGCTAATGCACCCATATAATGTTCCTTCATTGTGAGGCACCGAGATATTTCAGCGATCAGATGTTGACTTTTTCTGCCATTTTATTGGGACAACCATAGTTTATGTCTGCCAGATCTGGAAACAGCGGTGCAGCCTCCTCTGTGTTGCACCTATCAGACCTGAACGTGAACAGAAAGTCAAATGTACCAAATGACTATCCCCAGCCGATCGTTTTCCCGACCACTAGTAATTTGTACAGCACCATCGCCGTACAACTTTTCTTATCATATTCTAACTTCATTTTACGTGCGTTCACATCGGAGCATCAGATGATGAGATTCATGTCTAAAACGGTAGTCCGTGTTTATCGTTTGATGAAGTTGTCTTCAAATTAACATAAAACTGCTTGTGAATGGACGCTTTTACGAATTCATCTGAAAGACTGTCGGTCCAAATCAACCACGACTTATCCCAAACAAATGCAGGTTAAACTTGGCTTTGATAAATTCAGTCAAGTAGGTTCATTTGGGGCTGTATACTCAAACAAATGCAAGGAATCCCTGCTTCAAGGAGAGGCTTCCAAATGGAATTCATAGATAATTTCATGTATCCCTAATTCGTCTCAACGGAGCTAAAAGCTGACTATCATTCATACAACATTTCGTCAAACTTGGATCAAGGAATCTGGTCCGCCTCGGTGCGATAGCTGCGATAGCATGTGAATTTAAAGAGGAGATATCTCGATTCGAACACCACGGGGGTCGGTGAATAAGCAACACTCATGAGGTCTAACGAGAACGAAATTCTGAACTTATAGTCGATTGGGTGAACTAAGTTTTGCAAGTAAGGCCAATGTCAAAAAAATGGTCATTCACAATCAATAATTAAAAATCCTTGCATAGCTATTATGTGTCATACCCCAACACTCAACTAAAAAGCCCAATTTGTATGATAGAAATGGAACTAAGAAACCTGAGGATAGTACCTAGTAACTGAAAAGTAAAACTTATACTGCGGCTGAGCCAAAATCTCATTAAATACATATTAAATGAAATTTTCAATGAAGATGAAATTGTGTCTGATTATAAAGTAGTAGGAATCCTAATCAAAATCAAAATTAAATAGGGTTTTCCTTCTGATGACACTATTAAAATGAATGTGTTTTCTTTCAGAATGGGTTCAATTTATGACCTGGTCACAGTTCACTTTTTTATGCTTCTCGTTACTTTATTGACAGGGTCGAGCTTGGAGAACATAAGGTGACCGATTCGAGAACTGCCGGGTTGTAGAGTTGGAATACATGCAATATGAGTAGATGTGTGCACCACTTTTTCCACCCCATCTGGAATTTTATTGAATTGGAACCATGGTATTTTTCATTTAGCATCTCATAATCATCAATAGCCTCTGGTGCCTGTGAGTTAACCGAATGGGTTAGTTCAAACATTCCCCGTCTAAAATGATTGAGCCATTCGCATAACGTGATGACCGTCCGTGGTGTGGCTCTTGTGTAAAGGTTTGAAGTCCCGACCCTAAAGATGAGTCCTGATAGGGACACAAAAAGTACTCACTGCTAACGAGTCCCAAACATGACGAAACAACTGTCCTGTGCTCTTTGTTGGTTATCACAAACAACTTCGCATTTATATGCGTTTATTAATTGGGGAATTAACGATCTCCCGAAGAGTGAAACCCATTACCAACATCACCAACAGTGCCTGGTCCCTGTGAAAAAACCAAATGGGCTAATCTAAACATTCCTTATCTAAATTGTATGTATATACGTAACCGTCAAAATGAATTGCTTAGGAACAGCACCCATACGCGGAGTTATACTTCTTTCAACTTATTTGTTGATAGATAGCAACCTTAGTGTGAAATCGTAGTGCGTGATGACGATAACTTTCGTTCATTTTCCTATCATCTTTGAGGTAAGGTGTCGTCGATTCTTCTTGGACGAATAAGGCAGTATCATCAATGCAAAAACCCTCACTTTTTTGTGGTACTGCACTCAAAATGCCTGATTCCGTGTTCCAGGGAGTAAATGCCAGGTGATTCTAATACTCTAAGTGTTATTCCGTGCGTTTTTAGTACCAAGTGTGCAAACAGGAAATCCCCAGCATGTTTATGGGACTTTTAGGCACGACAGTGAGCAAGTGGGATGGAAACGGATTTTTCAACGGTAAAAATGCGATATACCTTTGACACAGGTACTTTTCGAATTTTTTCGAATAATGATTTAACCCATTTTTACGATATGAGCTTTGATCACTCTGAGGATGTCGGAATTCGAACTGTGAACTGGTGTCATACACTAGTATGAGACAAATAAAATGGTTTTAATCCCGTGGAATGCAAAATTCACTACTAGTTGTATCCTTTTCTTAGTAACGGGGGTCAACCGACCAAGGATAGTTCATCAGCCTTAACCTATCCCAGATAGATTTCCCATTAGCACATTCGGGGAAAGGTTGTTAAATTTTGAAAATAGAAGCTGCTGAGGTTTGCGATTCAAAGTGTACTCAATTCCATGCTGAACTATTCCCATTTCTCGCATTAGATTCCAAGTCACAGGGCAGATTTTCCATCCAATCAGATCGATGATGATGATGATAACGATGATGATGATGATGCCGATGATGACGATGAGGAGGAGGAGGAGGATGATGATGATGGTGATACTGATCATGATGGATTTTTACGTTTCAGTGAGTAGAATTTTAGGAGGACTGAAAGTAGATGTGAGAGGCAGAATAACAATTCAGGTCACGTCTAGTCAAGGGCTGGCTTTATACACCTCTAGGGGTGAATATTTAGCAACAGAAGCTAGACAATGCAAGATAAAATCAAACACACAAGCCTCCGGTGATCTGTTTTACCGTCATCATTCATGAATGTGCCCCAACGTTTATGGTTTTCCTCCAGGTAGGAGACTCCTACCAGTATAGATTTTTAAGTGAAAATAAATTTATTCAAAAGTATACGATCACTCCTTACGTATGTTGTTTGAGTAATAACAATTTGTCAGTCCGTTGATACCAAGAATTGAAGGTATCCTGAATGTTTTTTTCCTAATCCCAGGTTTAAAACGACTTATAAGATCTCTCACCTTAATAGATCGATTTTAAAAATTATTACAGCTCTCATACATGCGCTTTATGCAGAGTCTTCATTTAGTGACGAGGGATGATTTGCAATGAAGAAACGTGTTTCGTCAGACCTGTGGGGAAGGGAAGTTGAACCTGGGGTTTCATCGCAAGACAAAGGTCACGTTTAACCTTCCCATAGAATTATTGATCATTGATGCATTGATTGCTAGTTGAAACTAAGGAATGTTTCTTACCTTTTGCTACTCACCAAAGTTCATACTTAATAAGTGCTTATTCAATAAAATCCTTTTCAGAAGGAATGAGATCACTAAGTAATTAATGTGTATTACATGCCGTCTGTCGAAGTTGTTGTCTATGGATAGCATCGAATCAATAAAAAACTAAGTTGCGGATTGACAGGGATCACGGCTTCTCATCCCTTCTTCCAATGTCGTAATTATGAATCACCCTATGTGTCG